GCAGTAGTATCAAGCACGACTGATTTGAACAGATACGTGGACACACACAAGCACACACATATGGGGGGGGGGGGTCTCGCGGCTGAGTGGACAGCATTTGGGGGCCATAGTCCTAATAGCCCACATTCTATTCCTGGCGGAGGCGGAAGAAAATTGTCATTTTGTTTCGCCCTGATGCGGCTGTTTACCTAGCAGTAAATAGGTGCCGTGTAATTAGACAGTTGCTTCCTGGGGATATGTGAATGCGTTATAGGTATATAACAAAGAGGGAAAAATAGATTAGTTAAAATAGCGGGGTCCAATAGCTGCATACTCAAGTAGTAAATACTCGATTCTACATACACAAGTAGTAAATACACAAGTACACCCACACAAAATCATACTCAAGCTCACATTCACAAACAGTAAATAAGAAAGATAAGGTCAGTGCGGGAAATAGAATCAGAATTGTTAGAAAGTAGAGGTAGAGATTTTGAATTATGTATATCAATAAAGTTGAAGTATGAGGATGGTAATCGAGAGGAGGCAGGATGTGATAAACTTGAGGATACACAGGAGAACATGAAGCTCAGTATATAGAATATAGAATAACAGATAGACACAATAAGATACAATGTAATAGGGGACTAGCTAAAAGAGAAATAAGTTGGAACAAAACAGTGGTAATATTGCAAGGATTAATTGAAGTGGAAATTATATCGATTTAGAAAAGACTGCCTTTGAAATAATGGAATTTGAGGTGATTTTAAAAATGGCTGCTGAACTGTCGGTAGATAAAATTGCGGTGAACGTCAGAAATGAGCGCTATAGCAAACACAGACTCAGATGCTGTCCTGTTCTGGTTAGATTTCCAAAATGAATGCAACATAGTACGTGTGGAAACAAACCCTTTGAGATACGGAAGAACATTTTTCAATTAACATTAATTTTTTCAAAGAATATTCATTATTTCAATAAATATTAATTATTTAAATGGATATTCATTATTTAAATGAATAATGTATTCATTGAAGAAAGTTTTGACAAAAGTGGAACAATAGAAAGCTGAACTAAACTCTTGGACAAATATGCAGTCATCCATTGACCAGAGATTAACATATTGCTGTCATATTTCTACCTGTTTCTCTCCTCCAACCAAACCAACCACATGAGTTGGACGTTAGAGCGACGGTCTCCTATTGTGCAGATCGGCGCTCAATTCCTGACCTTCCAAGTGTTTAGGCACCATTCCTTCCCTCCCTCCCCATCTCAAATCCTGAGCCCTTTTTTTTAGTTTCCTCTACATGGAAGGAAACGTTCCAAGTAGCAGGGGCTATGGCGAGCCCACAGTGAACTTACCTGGCACAGGAACGGTTCTGTAAATCTGGTATCCTGATCCCGTTGTGGGAACCGACCTGTGAGATTTATATTTATTTAATTTATATGAATTTATATTTACGTATCCTGATCTACACATTAGGGGGGGTTTATATTAATTGAATATATATGCAGCCAATCAAACTACAGTAATAGACTACATACATTGAAGAGGTTCCTTAACTTATAGTACAGCAGGCCTTAAGTCCACCAGGTATAACTAGGATGTAGACACCAAATTATCCTCTTTGAGGTAGCTTCCATCACCCAGTAACTGGTGCACAAAGTCTATGCTTCCTCGTCTTGACCTGTCAAAAGGGCGCTAGCTGTAAAGCCAGATTCTATATATGACAAGCTATATCAGAGAAAACACTATACATGGAACATGAAGACCTGGCTTAATTACCTTTAGTTTGAGGCTGCCTCGCGTTCTAACCGGGTCACCCTACCCAATGACATTAATGGCCACTAATGATAGATAATGGGTTTCGGAAAGAACACTTAACTTGATTTGATGACAGCGTGTTGGAGATGGTACACCTTTGGTTTCCATAACACTACGTCCAAGTAAAATTAACAGGAGCCGAATTTGCTCCCGTGTGAGCCTCTGGTCTAGTATAAACAATGGCTGCCCCTTCCTTACCCTGACGCCTGGCTTACATTGTCCACATGACAGAAAGTGATAGAAGGGTCACATTTACTCTACTTTAATATTGATAATTAAGTTAATTTATATAAGATGTTTTTATGATGGTAAAGTCCAAAGACTAATGTATTTAAGAATAATTCCCACCATAATAGGTGGAGAATATAATAGTATGTGGTGATGATATCCCGTTTTCTATAGACGGTAATTCCACTACAAGTTACGTTTTTTATGGGTAACTTGTTGGTAATACAGCAGCAATTATTATCTGTCTGTATGATATATTAAATGGTGTCGGATTTTCCGACACCCGTCCTCGTGCTGTTTATGTAGATGTTATGGCTTAGCACTTACTTGACGGCTAATTCATGCCCGTGCCAGCTCTTGGGGTGGCTTAATCTTCATCAATGAATCAATCTTGGCGCTTTCTCGTGATAGTTCCCTTGCCTTCTCCTCCTCCCTACCCATCTCCACCACTATCACCACCCCACACATACATTCCCGCGGTTACAATCATTCCACCCCCTTTCTCGTTCTATTCTCAACTGAGCTCAACATTTCCTTCTCTGCCTCTCACTACCCCCAGCATCTTCACTTCACCCTAGCCTCTCAGCCCTCGCTTGGCTCCCCAGTCTACCTTCCCTCAGCAAGTTCCCTCTGTATGTCGTTTTTTCTCAGCTTCGTCCCTCAGTCCACCCCTCCCTCCCGCCTTCTCCCCTTGTCCTTAGCTTCACCTTTCCTCAGCAGCCAACCTTAAACCCTAACTTCTCAGCACCTCATTAAACCCCTCTGTCTTGCAGTACCCGTTAGCCCCTCACGTCTCCAAGTAGCAGTATTCCTTACGCCCCTTCTCCATCCCATCTCGATTCTCATCCCCTCTTCTCATCTTTCATCTTATGTCTCCATGTCTCTAAATTCTCTACTCTTTCCTTCAGTACCGTAGATAAAATGTTGATGTTAGCCTATAGACTTAAATGGCCTTACTAGGCCGTAGACGTTAATGTAAACTTTCTAGGGTTTAAACTCAACAGATTTCCTAAACCCATAGGCTTAAAATGGAGACCCCACAGTGTTCCTAGGATGTATACTTCACTAGATTCAACACCGCTCCTGTGTCAGGTAAGTCCACTACGGGCTTACCATAGTTCGTGCTACTTGAATCTTTTTGCTCCGAGTTGCTGAATCTAAAACAACAATAGCGTATACTTTAATGGAGTCTTCAGAGACTTCCCAAGTCTCCCATATAAGTTTCTCGTCTCTGGGTTTACAATTAGTTTACCACAGTCTTTGCCTTAGTGACCTGCTGGTTATATCCCCTTTAATAAAAGCGGGTATACTAAAGCGTTATTAAGTATCCTCTCATCTCCCTCATGTCACACACCGTCGCCTCCGTCGCTCGCAAAGCACTAGAGTTAAGCTCGTGTCTTTAGTTTGTCGTTTTAACGTTCGTTAGACGACTCTAAAGGTATTCTGCCTACCCTAACCTAATTTAAGCTAACCTATCCTAACTTCTTTTTAGTGCAAGCAGTTTCTCCTTGGCACTCCCCCACCCACCGTCCCATCCCAAATCTTTATCCTGTTCTCTTCCAAGTGCAATATATTCGTAATTGCTTGGTGCTTTCTCTTGATAATTCTTCTTCTTTCTTCTGGGAGGACAACTAGTCACTAATTCATTATCAATATAACAGTCTCTGCCTTCGTGTGCGAAAAGATACATAAATTCAGAAACAATTCTATAACCAATGTTCCAACGATGTGAAAATATTTCATTCAAAATGATCTGCTACCAGAAATTTTAGCCAAATATCCCCAGTTTGCTAACTGTAGGTAGTAACTAGGTGATTATAACCAATCCACCTGTGCCCATTGGATGGGGGGGGGGGGGGGTGTGCACGACAAACATATCAATTGTTATACTAGTTCGCCACATATGTCAGTTGCTTAATTTAGAAACAGTACTTGTGGTCGATCTCGAACCCATTTATGATGTGACGACTTATACTGAATTTTGTAACTAGCTCATCAAAATTGTAACTCGTTTAGCTAAATGAATTGTGGGGTTCAGTCCCTGAGCCCATTATGTGCCTCTGTGACCCTTTCCACTACCGCCCACCAGATGGGTATGGGGTGCAAAATATATGAATTAAACTAAAACGGCTCGTAGAGCTCCACGGGCAATGCGCCAATCACAAAGTATGTTGCAGTTGTCATCGTCCTTAAAATTCAGATAGGAACGAGGGAGGAAGAGAGATAAGGACAGAAGAGAGAGAATTAGAGACAGAGAGAGGAAGAGGGAGGAGAAAACTAGCATGCGGGAAATTATTTCCCCAAACGCAGCGCGATAATTATGACTTTGTGTTTCTTTAGGCTTTCTTTTCCTATGCATAAGTATCCGCATTCAATAAAAAAACAATAATATTCATCTTAACAGTTGTAAGTACAAATAATTAGCATGTTTCTCTATTTCAAAAATTTATTGAAACCTTGGGTACTACTGCACCCACGTGGATTCCTTGAGGTTTCCAGTGAAGCCGAACCAGGAACAGGAACCACAGAAATCGTCTAGAGCGTGTGCCTAAATCTCCACTAAGGTGTCTGTAGTTTTTTTTATATCTATTTTGTCTATGTCATATAAACTGCAAACCACATTAGAGTGGATATTACCATTTCATTTATTTCAACCCTCGGAGCCTCTGGTATATAAACACAAACCTAAACGACCAGACATTCATAAAAGCCTTTCATTCTACCGACCAGACAATGTAATATGTGTGATAATCACGTTATAACATAAATTAGTAAGCTATTTACAATGAAGGTTTGAAGGTCTTAGTTGCCATTGTCTTTGTCGTTTAAAATAAATACAGTTTCTTATAACAGGCAAAACAAACTCACAAGTTAATAAATTTTTTACTTTGGTTTGTGTACACACAGATCAGTGGTCGTACAGGGTACACTTTGGGGATTTTTAAATTATATAATCATTGTCTATGTGAAGGGATCTGTCGTTGAGTCCGGTCGTTTACTTGCCGTATCCGTATCCGCCACCATGGCCGCCGAAGCCGCCACCAAAGCCGTAGCCGCCACCAAAGCCGCCATGACCGCCACCGTATCCTCCGTAGCCATAGCCGCCACCGTGTCCATATCCGTAGCCTCTGGGACCAGCGAGGTGGAAGTTGTTGTTAGATACTCCACCAACACCATAACCTCCATGTCCACCTCCGTAGCCGTATCCACCTCCGTGTCCACCTCCGTAGCCGTATCCACCGGCCTGGCAAAGGGTAGCCAAGACGGCCAAGACCACTACTGCAAGCATCGACTTCTGCAAACCAGAGAGAGAGAAGTTGGAACATTTGCACCCAGAAAATCTACCGCATCAATATACGACAGATCACAGAGCCAGCATTCCAATACTTGCGAGGATACCGGAGGCAGAACTTACCATGATGTGGAGCTGGAGAGTATCTGCGGTACACTGAATAACACTCTCCTAGTTCAGCCTTTATATACCCAGCTTTCCAGACCCTTGTGAAGGTCAGGCTTAATCCAGTGGTTGAATTGTTTTAAAAATTCCTTTCATGCAAACAAATAATTTAGCAGAGTAATACAAAATAATTATCTGAAATGTTTTAAGCATTTTTAAAATGTTGTCAAAAATTAGTTGCGTTAGTCGCTAACATGTAATATGTAATTTTGTGCATGGATATATGCTACTATATATGTCAGTTAGTGATACTGTGAACTGCGTGAGACGTTCATTTTTCTTTGGTTTGGGCAATACTATCAAGCACGACTGATTTAAACAGATACATGGACACACACAAGCACAAATGCAAGCACACACATACGGGGGGTCTCGCGGCTGAGTGGACAGCATTTGGGGGGGTCATAGTCCTAATAGCCCAGATTTGATTCCTGGCGGAGGCAGAAAAAATTGGCAGTTTCTTTTGCCCTGATGCGTCTATCCGTCTAGCAGTAAATAGGTACCGTTGAGTTAGACAGCTGCTTCCTGGGGATATGTGAGTGTTATAGAGAAATATCAAAGAGGAAAAAGAGGTTAGTAAGAAAAGCGGGGTCCAAGAGCTAATAGCTCGATTCTGCATACGCAAGTAGTTAATAGACAAGCACACCCACACAAAAAACATACTTAAGTTCACACTCACAAACAGTAAATAAGAAAGATAAAGAGAATGTAGGAAATAAAATCAGTATTATCGGAAAGTAAAGATAAGGATTTTGAATTTGAATATAAATAAAGGAAAGTATGAGGATGAGAATCGAGAGGAGGCTGAAGGTGATAAATTAGAGGATACACAGGAGAACATGAGGGTCAGTATAGAGAATAAAGTATGACAGACACAATATGATACAATGTGATAGGGGACTAGCTAACAAAGAAATAATTTAGAATAAAACAGTGGTGATATTGCAAAGATTAATTGAAGTGGAAATGATATCGAATTAGAAAAAAACTGCTTTTGAAATGATGGAATATGAAGAGATTTAAAAATGGCTGCTGAAGGGGAAGGGAATTATCAAGGCCAAGCAATTACGACTATATAGCACTTGGCAAGGATTGGGATAATGATTTGGGATGGGTATGGGAGGGGGGGGGGACGTAATGGTTCCCAACCACTTGGACGATCGAGGATTGAACGCCGACCTGCCTCAAACTTTACCGTCTCTCTACCGTCCAGCTCAAGTGGTTGCTGAACTGTCAGTAGATGAAATTGTGGTGAATCTCAGTAATGGACGCTATAGCAAACACAGACTCAGATGCTGACCTGTTCTGGTTTAGGTTTCCAACATAGATGCAACATAGTACGCGTGGAAACACATCCTGTAAGATACGGAGGAATATTTTACCTCGAATATTCATTTTTTAAATGAATATTCATTATTTCAATGAATATTCATTATTTAAATGAATATTCAATATGTCAATGAATAACGTATTCATTTAAGAAAGTTTTGACATGAGTGGAAAATTAGAAAGCTGAACTAAACTCTTGGACAAATATGCAGTCAACTATTGACCTGAGGATATCACATTGTTGTCATATTTCTACCTGATTCTCTCCTCCAACCAAACCAACCACTTGGGCTACCCGGTAGAACGATGGTCTCGTTTTGTGCAGGTCGGCGTTCAATCTCCAACCGTCCAAGTGTTTGGGCACCATTCCTTCCCTCCCGTCCCATCCCTAATCCTTATCCTGATCCCTTCCAAGTTCTATATATATAGTTATAATGGATTGGCGCTTATATTACGAGCTATTTATACCCATGCCACCTCTTGGGTGGTATAATTTTCATCTATGAATCTATCTTGGTGCTTTCTCCTGATGCCCTTGCCTCCTTCCCCAACCCATCTTCCCTACCCATCTCCGCCACTGTCACCACTCCATACAAACATTCCCGCTATAGCGATCATTCCCCGCAAACCTTCTTCTATTTTCAACTCAGTTCAACATTTCCTTCTCTGCCTCACTACCCCTAGCATCTTCATTTCACCCTAGGCTTTCAGCCCTCGCTTGGCTCCCCAGTATACCTCCCCTCAGAAGTCCCCTCAGTATGTCGTTTTTTTCAGCTTTGTCCCTGAGTCCACCCCTCCCTCCCGCCTTCTCCCCTTGTCCCTAGCTTCAGCTTTCCTCAGCAGCCAACCTTAAACCCTAACTTCTCAGCACCTCATTAAACCCTTTTGTCTTGCAGTACCCATCATCCCATCACGTCTCCAAGTAGCAGCATTCCTTACGCCCCTCCTCCATCCCATCTCGACTCTCATCCCCTCTTCTCATCATTCATCTTCTGTCTCTATCTCTCTACATTCTCTACTCTTCCCTTCAGTACCGTAGATAAAATGCGGACGTTAGCCCATAGACTTAAATGGCCTTACTAGGTCGTAGACTTTAATGTAAACTTTCTAGGGTGTAGACTCAACAGACTACCTAGACCATAGGTTTAAAATTAAGACCCCATAGTGTTCCTAGGATGTATACTTCACCAGTTACAACTCCGCTAAAGAGCCTGGTAAGTCCACTACGGGCTCACCATAGTTTGTGCTACTTGAAACTTTTAGTTCCGAGTTGCTGAATTTAAAACAACAACACCGTATACTTTAATGGGGTCTCCAAAGACTTCCCAAGTATCCCATCTAAGTTGCTCGTCTCTGGGTTTACAAATAGTTTACAAGTCAATAAAAGTGAGTATACTAATGCGTTATTAAGTATCCTCTCAGTTCCCACCTGTTGCCTGTCACCCTCTGGCGCTTCCGTCGCGCGAAAAGCATTAGTGTTTCTCGTGCCACTAGGTTATCGTTTTAACATTAATCAGACGTCTCTCAAGATATTGTGCCTACGCTAAACTAACCTAAGCTTACCTATCCTAACTTCTTGTTAATGCAAACACTTTCTCCTTGGCCCCCCCCCTTACCCGTACCATCCCAAATCCTTATCCTGATCTCTTCCAACTGCAATATAGTCGTAATGGCTTAGTGCTTTATCCTGATAATTCTTCTTCTTTCTTCAGGGAGGACAACTAGTCACTAAATCATTATCAACATTACAGTCTCTGCCGTCGTCTCGTAGAGCTCCACGGGCCATACGCCAATCACAAAGTATGTTGCAGTTGTCATCGTCCTTAAAATTAAATCAGGAAAGAGGAAGGAAGAGATAGAGAAAGAAGAGAGAGAGAGAGAGGGAGGAAGAGATAGAGAAAGAAGAGAGAGAGACAGAGAGAGAGAGAGGGAGGAAGAGATAGAGAAAGAAGAGAGAGAGACAGAGAGAGAGAGAGGGAGGAAGAGATAGAGAAAGAAGAGAGAGACAGAGAGAGAGAGAGGGAGGAAGAGATAGAGAAAGAAGAGAGAGACAGAGAGAGAGAGAGGGAGGAAGAGATAGAGAAAGAAGAGAGAGAGACAGAGAGAGAGAGAGGGAGTAAGAGATAGAGAAAGAAGAGAGAGAGACAGAGAGAGAGAGAGGGAGGAAGAGATAGAGAAAGAAGAGAGAGAGACAGAGAGAGAGAGAGGGAGGAAGAGATAGAGAAAGAAGAGAGAGAGAGCGAGAGTAAGAGGGAGGAGAAAACTAGCATGCAGGAAATTATCTCCCTAGACGCAGCCCGATAATTATTACTTTGAGTTTCTATAGGCTTTCTTTTCCTATGCATAAGTATCCGCATTCAATAAAAAAAAAGAATAAAACTCTTCTTAGAACTTGTAAATACAAATAATTAGCATGTTTCTCAATTTTAAAAATTTATTGAAACCTTGGGTACTACTGAACCAACGTGGATTCCTTGAGGCTTCCAGTGAAGCCGAACCAGGAACCAGGACCGCAGAAATCGTCTAGAGCGTGTGCCTAGATTTCCACTAAGGTGTCTGTAATTTTTTTTTGTATCTATTTTGTCTGTCATATAAACTGCAAACCACATTAGAGTGGATATTAACATTTCATATATTTCTACCCTCGGAGCCTCGAACATTAACCTAAAGGACTAGACAGATATTCTACCGACCAGACAATGTAATATGTGTGATAATCACGTTATAACATATATTAGTGATATTCAAAATAAAGGTTTGAAGATCTTAGCTGCCATAGTCTTTGTCCATTAAAATAAACACAACTTCTTATAACAGGCAAAATAAACTCACAAATTAATAAATATTTTACTTAGGTTTGTGTACACACAGATCAGTGGTCGTACAGGGTACACTTTGGGGACATCGTTGGGATTCTTAAATTATATAATCTTTGTTTATGCGAAGGGATCTGTCGTTGAGTCCGGTCGTTTACTTGCCGTATCCGTATCCACCACCATGGCCGCCGAAGCCGCCACCAAAGCCGCCATGACCGCCACCGTATCCTCCGTAGCCATAGCCCCCACCGTGTCCATATCCGTAGCCTCTGGGACCAGCGAGGTGGAAGTTGTTGTTAGACACTCCACCAACACCATAGCCTCCGTGTCCACCTCCGTAGCCGTATCCACCTCCGTGTCCCCCTCCGTAGCCGTATCCACCTCCGTAGCCGTATCCACCGGCTTGACAAAGAGTAGCCACGACGGCCAAGACCACTAGTGCAAGCATCGACTTCTGCGAACCAGAGAGAGAAGTCGGAACATTTACATCCTGAAAATCTTCCGCAACAATATAAGCCAGATCACAGAGCCAGCATCCCAACACTTGCGAGGATACTGTAGGCAGAACTTACCATGGTGAGGAGGTGGACAGTATCTGCGGTACACTGAATAACACTCTCCTAGTTCAGCCTTTATATACCCAGCTTCCAGACCGCTGGTGAAGGTCAGGCTTATTCCAGCAGTTGAA